GGAAAGTCATTTGGTACTACGTAAGGCAAAGCCAGGGGAAGCACCTCCGAGCTGATTTTGCGCGCAGTTCATTCGCGTCCTGAATGCGAGTCAGAACGGCATGTAATCGCGGTTGATGGAATTCGTCATCCGGCACTCGGCATAGACACAGCCACTTTTTGCTCGTCTTCCTCTCCCACAACAAGGTCTTTCCTCCAGAAGCCCCGTCGGCCCGCCTCCCAGCTGCGACTCGACCAATGGCATCCCAGGCATGCGCCACGCACGCAGCGGGAGCGTGCCAAGCGCATGCCGGTGAATCAGGATGGAAGCGGAAGAGCCAAGGAAAAGCGGATAGGCGAAGGTGCTTCAGGGTTAGGACGCCGCCGATCTGCGGTCAACCAAGAAGAGCTTGGTTTCGTCGATGTGCCACTGCGCACCATCTCCATGCGCGCTCCTTTACCATGGCTTATCGCGCTAATGCAACACACGAGGTAGTATAGCGTCGTGCGTCTTATACCAACGGGATACCCTCTTCCGTTTGCGGATTGCTCACCCCTTTGAGGGACTCGTTCAAGGCCGGCGCCATGACTGGGATAGCAGTGCCTTCAGCGGGAAGCGGCGGACGGTATGCACTTGGCTTTTGTTACATTTGCGACGGTAAGGCTAACACCGTTGCAGGACATTCTGGAGGTTGTCGGCCGTGGGGTTCTTCGTGAGTCGTATGGAAGTCAAAGTGTGGTTCTCTGTACTGTAGCTGCTGCTCTGCTTTGTCTGCATAGACTGGGGTTACGTGCAGGCTACTCTACGTCAACAGCTTACGGCGCGCGCGGCTGTCATTTTCGCAGCGATCTTCAAGAGACGTGTTTCTGCCCGCATCTTCTACCTTGCCAAGTTACTCAATCGGGGCACTGATCCACGCCCCGCAAAAGCGTACCTTACTGCGCTCGTTCCCTCCTTTGGGCTTGCCTTGCGCCCATAGGACTCGTTGCGCTATATGTGTCTGCGCTCTACCGTCCCCAATCGGATCCAGCCACCCGCTCATCTGAGCCCGTGTTCATCTCCGAACGACGCGCTTGTGATCCGGCTTGGCATATCTGGTCCTTCGTCCCAAACCCTAATCCATGCCGCCCGGATATATTCAGATTCGGGAATTGGTTTACCAGCATCTACGCGGTATGTGGTTGGTTGCGAACCTGGGATTTGATGCCCGGGCGTGCATGAACGACCTCGATGTGAGTCACTAGTTTGTGCTCTCCGCAATGCAAATACTGCCGATGTTGAACTGTGTCAAACAGGGTAACAATAATGCCTTTGGCGGACCGTTCGCGCCTGCACCAGATGAGAGACTTCCACATAGTATATCTGCAGGGCTGCTCGTTCGATTCGAGCTTCGGGCGATGCTATATAATGTTGAATGTGTGGATTTTTTTGTCAGTGTTTCTTTACCCTTCTTGATAATTATCTCCTCGAGGATCACTCCCTGCCAAAAATGTTGAGGACATATTAGCACACCAGTCCCCGAATTTGGGCAAAGTTTGGGCATAAAGTGCAATACAGACCTGAACAGTGACTGAATCTCTTCCGCAAGTTTCATATGGCACCCAGCCCACCAGAGTGCGACTTTTTTTCCTCACTCGGGTGTCAAAATCGGTGCAAGATGTGCTCAGAAACTTTGGGGTTCGCACCGGTGCGAACCCGGTTCGCAAAAACCCAACTTTGTCGAACCCTGAACCGCACCGGGGTTCGGTTCAGGTTCGGAATCGGTTCTGAACCGAACTCCGGCAACACTAGTCATGTCCTTGAGACTGCAAGCACTGACGTGGCCAGCAGTTATCGCGTGGGGAGTCCGGAGGACGAGGCGGAAAGTGTGGGCAATCATAGTGGAAAGATAAGACGCACCAAACGACGACATGCTTCGCGCACGGTTGATCACGAAAAAGTATGTTTGGTCGTGTGTGGATCATGTGCCGGTTGGATTTGGATTGCGGACGCGAATTAATTCCCCTTAACACCAAATTTGAGTTGACATTCGGATGAATGGTGCTGTGGCTCAGCCCTGAGTCAGCGGGAGAGCCGGTGCTTTATGTCACCGCGTAAATGAGCACTGCACACGATTGAAACCAAATTGATACCCAAGGGTATGCCGCCCCGTGATTGCCGGAACAGGGGCTGGTTGGTTGGTTCGGCCGTCAGGCCTTAAAAAAAATTCCGGGAACCATCAATTTTGCTGCTCTGGGGGGTTCAAAATGGTGACATATGGTACTCACTATGTGTCTGAACTCGTCTCCAGCCACAGAAGTAGAGACTATAGCTTTCGGATAGGTTTTGATGATTTTCGGCGGTTCAACCCCGATTTGGTACTTGGTTGGTTCATGTTGGCTGCCACTGGAACAATGTTTCATGACGCTTGGTGGCCTATAGCAACCATGATAAGCTTACCTGTGATGGTTATAACCGGTTTCAAGCAGCAGTGAGGGTGTTTTGAGGTGTCATGGGCGGAAAGATGTTGGGAAAACGTGACCCGCGGGAATGATCTCCCTTATATGGACGTCACGTGGTTGGTTGGTTCAAACCGAAGGTCTTATTTTCAAGAACCGGCCCCTGTTCCAAAATTCACAGATATTGATACCCTTGTTGATACCTATGGAGTGAGAAGTCGACGGATTCGTTTTCACAGGTACTATCGCTCCTCCTCCGGAAGGCCTTAAAAAACTTTTCGACCCTCATTTCAAAAAAGTTTCTAATCTCGCTGAAACGCTGCACCACGATGATCAAAATCGAGAACTCAATTACATGCCGTGCCAACCTGCAAAAGAGAAAGCTGCAGAGCGCTAAACGGCCCAGCGAACTCAGCAGTAGCAACCAACCCGCACAGAAGTCGGACACCTACCCTGCGGCAGCCACCGGCCCACCCCAATCCTATAATCTTCGCGGAATGCTCGAGAAAGACTGCAGCTCACATGCCAGTGGGTACCGCGCCCGGTGGTGAGTTCCTATATGTGCGCTTCGACATCTTTTCCCGCTACCTTGCAAGGTGTTCGGGATTTCGGCCTTAACCTTCGGGCCATCTCGGGCAACGAGCAACGATGCTTGATCGACCCCTAATCACCATCTCCTTCTGGTTTTGCGCTAAGAACTGAACAAGCATTTGGTAGCGCGCCGGGATGAGAAATCCGTGAAAACTCGAGCTCGTCAGTGTCAGGCGACACAAACACATCCTCTTCCACCGAGAACAATCTCCATCACATTCAATTTTCACAAAGTCCACGCAGCTAGACGTGCGATTAACGCTGCGTTCACAATGAACATGAGCGCAAGCCTGCTGTCTCCGTGAAACCGAGGGCTGACCTTTCGTAGCTCGCAGACCGGGAAATCCGCCTAGACGACAATGAAGTTACACCATAGCTCCCTATTCCCAAGTCCCATCTGCGACGGTCTGTTTCGTGAGAAGGGCTCAATGTTGGTTCTGTCGTATCGTTCAGGCGGCAGAATGGCTGTAGCATACATTTCGGGCTTGATGTATGTCGGTACAGCAGCCGTACGTTCCTTGTAGGGACCACTGCGGTTAATTTACTCCTCCTCCTCCTCCTCCTGTAAAAACACCTCAAACATTTTTTTCGGAAATATACTATTATGCCGAATGGGTCTGCATTTTCCCAATGGGTCTGCATTTCGCATTTTTCTCCCTCCCCCCTGACTCGTTGCCCCCGGAGTCTTCTGGGATAGTTTAATGTACATATTGGCTCTAGGAATCCAAAATATCTAAGAGATCTGGGAAGGGAGTGGCTTGAGATGCTTGCCGGCCCATCAATCCTGATGTGTTTCGGGACCACACCTATGTTCCCATACGACGCCTTAAAGTCCCAGAATTCGTCGACAGCATCATGGGAGTAGTATGGCACTTGGTGCTCAGGGAAATAACTTCCGCGGCTTTCCTAGCTAGTCTGTCCCACCCAACGCAGTGGTCTGGTTGAGATAAACGAGAGGCAGTCTGTTCAGTCCGGTAGAGCAATTCAGGATCTTGTGACCAATGCGAGCTGGTCGACGTGTCGACCAAGCGAGAATTGGGCCAAGTGGTATGCAATCTCGGTTTCTTTCCATACAAGCATCTACTTATATCCACAATGTTAAACACTGCACTGAGGCATAATAGATTCACCAATCATCTCCGAGCATAGCCAGCATCTCATTCACCGTGCTTCAATTTACTACTTAATAAAGCTAGAATAAGGCCGCAGAGTGTAGGCCAACGTCAAAGCATAGACGATTGCCAGGCGAATAAATTGGCGAATAAATATTTGCCTGTTCCAGTTATATATATATATATATATAGTGGGCTTTGCCGCAACAGCGCGCTACAATGGTTATTGGGAAAATGCAGACCCGTTGGGCATAATAGTAAGGGAGGATTTCTGAAAATTTGATCGCAACTACCCGATTTGGATAGAAATCCGGAACATGTTCACATTCCGTTGCTCAAGTGTAGAGTGCATGTAGCAATGGATTTAGTTATCTCTCTTACCTATTACTCACTGTATACATGGCAATTGAACCAGTTTTGGGGGAGTTCGGCCAAACGGCAAGAATTCTTGCCAAAATAACTGAACCAAACATTTGATTGCCGCGTTAGCCGTCATTGCCTCATATAGGGTGCCTGGGGTCTAGGATCGAGGCTTAAAAAACTTTTCGACCGGATATCCGAATTTCGAAAGTTGATTCCCCCTTGATATACCTATTACCGATACCTTTATGGACGGCGATCTTTGCGCACAGAAATGGCTGTTTCGGCAACTCCTGTTGCGCAGCGCAAGGTTGCAGCTTCGTTTCCCACAGTTGAACCTTGTAGACGACGACAGTGACTCTACCTCCAGGAACAACTGCGTGTAGTTAACTCCGATGTCTCCCCATCCGTCGTACTTTCATGTGCGGATCGGTGCCTGCCAGAATATTAAGGTAATTTTGAATCAAGCCCATCCTGCGGGAACTCTGTGTCGCGAAAAAGCAACCGCGTGAGGCGCTCACGACACCAGCAGGGTTTGAATCTGCGCGGTAAAATACCAACAGATATCGCCTTAACCACGCGGCCATAGGGTCGTTTACTGTCCGAATTCGAGGCTTGGATACCTCTGGGGGGGGGGGGGGGGGGGGGGGGGGTATATTATACTCGCGTGGTCCACAGGCTGAACAACGAGTTTACGGAAGACAAACATGTAGTACTGTACGCGTGGTTATCCTTACAGAATCCTACAAGATGCCGACCGAGCACAACATCGTTCCAGGGGGTCGACCACACGCTACCTTTGGACCGCCGGGTGCAACCTCGTGGGACCTTGCCACTCAGCTGGGTAGCTGGTGTACGAGAGGAGTCCCCTCCTCCCTGGCAAAACTCCCCAGTGTCCACCAGACTCACGAAAAGATCGACGCATGTCTTTCCCTTTGCGGATGCATGCGTACCATCTGTCTCCGAAGAGACAGACCCAAGGGCTTTTGGGAAGTGTCGCTCGACACAAGCAGCCGAAGCCGCTGAAAATTAAACAGGGCGGGGGTCCATGCCAGCGCGGTTGCCAGACGGTGTCGAGGATGTCCAAGAACGACGCGCAAGATCCATTCTGGCCATTGGTGTCGCGACGCACACAATCAAGCAGGAGATCCACGGATGCCAAGCCGACGCCAAGCCTATCCCGGAATCGAGTGTCCCGGTCGCCGGTCTGGGAGCAGCGCCGGAAAAAAATTTGAAACAACACAGATGAATTGTCCAGACCTCGCTGAGACTTGACGAACACCGCAGAGAGAAAGGGAAGAAGAAAGGTCGGACACAACGGCAGATGAGGATCGCGGAGTTCCGGCCGAAAGTCCGATGGTCCGTGCGCACCAAAATGCCAGCATCCAGGCGTCGTTAAGGAGAAGGTCCCCCCATCGATCCCCCCTGCGCGTCGTGCGCGTACCCCGGACGGTACAGTGGCCAAACATGTCCAGTTAAGTGGCCCAGGTGCATCCACGTAGTCGGGTCCCGAATGTGATTCTTCCACGAGTTCGTCCCGGCCATCCTGCTCAGGGTCCACGTCGGCCATTTCGTCCAAATGTAGAGGTAAGAAGACGGCTGGGGACACAGGGATGCATCCGACATCCACACCCCGGACGGTGCTTGTGTTGCCGAGCCAGAACGAGGCCAATTTTGCGGAGGATCAAAATTGCCATGATGGTGGGAGCAGAGTCAGCTTAAACCTAATGGACGTGCAGAAGTACAATCCTAGTCGCTCAAGATCAAAACCAATCAAAAACAGCAAGCCCGAGATACCCGAAGCCGATGTTCAACTTGCGGTAAGCTTGTTTGACGCTGGAATGGCAGTTTGCGATGCTACGAATAATCAGCCAGGCGTAAAAATATTCAGAGGGGTACTCCCTCGAAGGGAGGGTTATATATTTGCGACAATCGCAAGATTCCAAAGGCAGTTCTCCGGCCCGGCGGGTTGAATGATTCTGACTCCGCAGTGTAAACAATTGGATCGGAGCCTTCAAAAAAACGCAGCGCTTGCTAGATTCAAGCGTGCGGACTACTTGGTACCAACTCACTGCGTCCTCACTCAGTCCTCCGGGTCGCCGAAGATGCGCTACAAAGCCAAAGGGAACCGCGACTCCTGATTGATAATTGGTCGACTTGGTTGGGGTCGAAGGATATTCGATCGCGGCTTGTGTGCACGCGCCAACGGTGAAAGATGTGTCACTTACGAAGTCAAAGGCAAGCTGTGCGTACGCAAGAAAGATGTGGGCCATAACTCAAAGTGAGGCGCATATGTTGCGTGATACAACAAATGTCCAACCTTTGGGGAAAGTCAGTTCGTTGGGACGAACTGAGCATCACAGTGGCTCGTCAGGCCTACAGAACTGAGAAGAAGAAGCGCAGACGACTTCAGTATGAACGTTCCGTGGACATGAATCTGGTACGCGGCAGTGTCAGTGGAAATTGAACAAGTGTATCGCATACCCATCAAATTTGTGATTCTGGAGATGTAGATCTGCACTGGTTGAACTATTCGAGTTTTTCGGTGAAAAAATCGGTGAAAAAAAGTTTGGATTTTATAGCACCTTTTTCACGGAAAGTGGTTGACTTTCCATAAGGGTAGAAAATTCCTCCCGGAATTTTTGAGCGGTGCCAGTCATGCCGGCAGTAGGGTTTATTCCAATAATCTAATCCCTCGCAGCTTCCATAAGCTTAGCCGCGGAATAATTTGATACACGATTAGATCGTTTGTTTACGATGGTAAACATCAGCAATCAACGTGTCTTGCTCTGGCTCTTAACTTCACCACCTTACTCTCACCTTCCAATCGACGCATCGAGTCACGGGTATCACACTTCCTCTCAAAGATCCCTCCATCCCCTTCTATTTGACGCGTCTCAGCGCGTGTAACAATGGAAGTTGACGCGTTGGTCATCTGTCAGCAACTGGAGGACATTGAGGAGGATGAGGTGGATGATGAGCTGCACCTGGCCGGAACCGCGATGTCTGTGATGCTGCTTGGGGCTATCGAGGCCCATAGGCTGGGTACGGAGCGACGGAAGCCAAGCCGACTGTATCTGTGTCGCCCCCAACTATCCCGTAATCCTCGGGGGTGTACTGCGTGGCAGATCCTCTATCGGAGTCGCAATGACAGAGCGTACATCACGACAATGAGTTTTGATGTCGGGACATTCAACAAAATCCTCGGTGCAGGCTTCGATTTCGATTTCGCATGGAACATAACCCCAATCCCTCGCGAGGACGCGCTTGGCACCGGCAAAACGCGACCCGGTGCACGGTCCCTTGACGCGTCGGGAGCTCTGGGACTACTCCTCCATTATCTTAACTCCACGATGCGCGAGATCAGCTTGCAGCAAATCTTTGCGCTGATCCCAAGCACAATCTCGCGCTATATTACATTTGGGCTCAAACTCCTTCTCCAGACCCTCCGTGGGATGCCCGAGTGTTCGATCCGGTGGCCCAAGGACGAGGAGTTCTCCGACTACAACCAATTGATTGTCGCCCGTCATTCCCGTTTGACCGGTGCCTTTGGGAGCCTTGACGGACTTAATTTGGCTTGCCAGACCTCGGATGATGAAGAGATTGAGAACGCGACATATAACGGTTGGCTTTGCGAGCATTATGTGAGCTCGGTTTTCGCGTTTTCCCCTAGACTCGAACCAGTACCAATCCCTCGAAAGATCGAAGACAGTCGTTCGATCAGTGATGGATAGGGACTGGAACATAATCAGACGCTTTAGGACAGTCGGAAGTTGCCGAGCCTTTTAAATGTCTTAGCCAAAATTTCGCGAAAGCTCCGTCATCGACCTCCGCCGTTTCGAAATCTAAAGAGACAGTTTTGTAGCGCTTACGATTCTAAGACCTTGTATGTTTTCAAAACTTCGGATAAATCAAAACCGCGCTCCGTATCGTCAAATTACTTCTGTCGCTCCGTCTCAGGGGCTTTTCACATCTTTTCGTCGCGCGTCACCCTCACTCGACCGATGGTCTTCAAACGCAAGGAGCCCGATCCAGACGACGATGACTACGTTCCTCCACAGCCCAAACGCCGACAGACAGCACAGAAACCCGTTGTCGAGCAAGCCAGCAGCTCGCCAATGGCATCATCTCCAGCGGCCATTTTGGACCCATACTCGCCTGTGACACCCTCGACACCACAAAGAGGGCCATCCGATGCTCCAATGCCGTCTCTCATGTCCTTTCTGGGGCCTCCACAATCTCCCGCGGCTTCACCAGGTCCTCAGACACCCGGAGGTGCACACGCGATGGAACCGCCGTCTATGTCTTCCCCCATGTCCTCTGTGATCGATGAGACACCTGTCAAGGACCCCCGCGGCCGCCCTGCTTATACACCAGAAACCCGGCAGCTGACTTCGACAATTCGCCAGTTCCGGGGCGATGATGTCGAAGACACACCGAGCCGACACGCGCATGAGCAGGCAGCCACGGAGTTGGCCAGGAAAAAGGAGGTCTTTGCTGCTAGTCGAGCGCAAGCAGCTGCCGCCGCCGCAGCGCAGAAACTTCAAGAGGCGGAACAGCTTGCACAAGCGGAGAAGAAGGCGCGCGACACAGAGAACACCGTGAAGGCTCAGAGAGTCTTAGCTGATCTCACCAAACCAACAGAGGAGGGTGGTTACAATTTTGCCAGCATGGACGAGTTCTTCCAGGCTATCTTTCGACCTGGAGGAGATCAGTTTGTTTCGGCGAAGGTTGGCCGCTATGTGCGAGACCACGGTGCAGACCATGCGAGGGCGATGTTTGCACGCTCAGACTCAGCAAAAGCGGATTACATTTCCAAGGAGCTGGAAGCGATTTACAGACAGGAAGGTCGCGCGATCCAAGCGATCCTCACTCGGAACGCTACGACAAAGGTGTCTGATTTGCTGAAGGAATTTTCGATGGAGCAGCTCGCCGCGGAGATTGAGAACGCTGCGCCATGGCTATGGAGGGCGTTGGTTGTCATCTCCGAGCCCGACAGGAGCACGCGTGCCGAGAGCGCAGGTGAAACCCGCAAGCACAAGGGCCTGGTGCGTTTCGGTCATGCAAACCAATTTCTTCCATTTCTCACATATTTCATAGGTATTCACCACGATCTGCGCTCTGATCAGTGTGTTGCGCTCGCAGAAAGCCAACAACTTCCAGCTTGTAATCGGCCTCTTCCTCCTCGGATCAGGGGCTTCAAAGAGGGAGATAGAGGTTCTCGCGCACGCGGGCCTCTCTATCGCTTACAACACCATCCTCGAACATGTCCGAGGACTGTCGAAGGAAGGGATGGAAAAGATTTGGGAGCTCGTGAAGTCGGTTATGTGCCAGATCGTATGGGATAACCTCAATATCGCATTCCGTGTCGCGGCCGAGCGCCTCAAGGCTAAAAATCATTTCGACAATGGGACGACTGCCACGGTCATTCCTGTATTTGACCCCGCCACCGGAGAGCATGCAAAGCACGGCACATTGCCATTCTCCATGAAGCCTCCTCGAGAACGCACACTGCCGGTGCTCGACTGGACAGCAGAGGATGTGCTTCCATCACCGCAATGCGCGCAGGAGCTCTCGGCGAGCTGCTTCTGGC